CCGATCCTGGGCCAGCCTCACTACTGTTGCCACACTTGAGTCCATCGATGCTGCCACTTGGCCAATCCATCTCATTGGGGGTCTTCCTCTGACCCTCTACCTTACCAAACATGATATCCTTCTCTAGTGACTGTTCCCTCCTGACAATATGTCCAAAGTATGAGAAAATAAGTTTGGCCATCTTGGCCTCTTTACTACATGCTTTACTACATTTTAAATAGGAATTTTTCGTAAGTTTGAGTCAGACTGTGGATTTCACCCATACAGTTTGTACCAAGTGCTCCCTTGCCCCCACACATCAGGTAAATAGAGAAATGAGAATAGGTTTTTCAAACCTGTAATCTGTAACCTACATCCATCAGCATCTGAGCCTTCAAGGTGAGTGCTTTTCCCCTGTTTGTGGGGAAGGAGGGCAGAGGAGATTTGTTCCAACTCACAGAGGGTTTGAACTCACAGAGCGACAGCTCGTGGGCTCTGTGAAGCGTTCCTAGCTCTGGGGCTCTCATGTCTCTTTTGGGCCAAACTCTTCTCTTTCAAAAGTAAGCTCAGATCATTGTATATCACTGCAGTCAAAACATGTCATGTTTGATTTGTTTCTCCTTGAAATGTTGCTATTCTTTATCCCACAGTTGCTTTTAATTTAGCAATACAAGTATCTATAGATACGAGTTGGCTTCAGAGCCTGCATAATTACTAGTGAGAAAATATACTTAATGTTCTCATTCGTTGGTCATTTCAGAGATTTTTTCAGCACACTAGGATGTTTTGTTGGTAATTGGTGCCTCTTAGTGTAGTAACAGACTCCAAATGCAAGAGATACTGCTCAGATAAAACCAGGCACCAACAAATGGCATCTGAGTGTGCGTTAGTAAAATAGCCTAAGCAACAATGTGGCGAACACATGTTAAGCCTGCAAAGTAAGATGCATGAGGATTCTGTAAAAAGAATGGCTGCATGCAGCTCCTTAGAAGACTCTTGTATTGCTAATTCTGTAGATTTCAGGCTGGTTCCTGCCCCCTTGTGTGCCTCAGTTTCCTCATCTGAATAGTGAGACCAGACTAATCACTGCCAACCTCCTCATTCCCTGCCCTTCTGAGAATGTGGGCCAACAGCTCCCAAGCAGAGTACCCAAATCACCTCTCTATCAGAAAGAGCCAGGGTGTTTAAAAATGCAGATGCCTGGGCCACCCCTAGACCTACTGAATCAGAATTTGGGGAAGAGAGAGGCAAGTAGCAATCTGTATTTTAAGAAATGCCTGAAATGATTTGGGGGGCACACTAAGATTTAAGAACCACCAATTTTATTTACTCAGAACAAATCCATTTTACCTTAAATTGCCCAGCTTTTTTGGGGGGGTGGGTTGACAAGGGATGAGCAACTATGTTTTCTAGAGAACTGTGATATAATGGATGGTTGTCATTTTAAGCAATTAATACATTTTCCAGAGAGTAATTAATTCACGTAACAAATAGTTATTGAATGGCTGGGTGTCAGGCTCTGTCTTAGAGCCATGGACACATTGTGGAACAAGCTAAGACATAGGCCTTGTCTTTGTGGAGCTTGCATTCCATTGAGGGGGAGAACAAGCAAATGTGTAACTGCAGCGATGTCAGTGGGAGGGGCTAGGGGAGGCAGGGAGAGGACGATTCTCGTTTCATTTTTAAGAGAGGGCAGTTAAGTCAAAAAAGAAAAAATGGAGGTGGGGGAGGAAATATATTTATTGCCAATATTTAAAGTATCACTCATTAAAGTGTAAGAATACAATTTTTAAAGATGTAAAGACCTAGAGAAAACAACATTGTAAGAGGAGACAAACACATTGTTTACATATGTAGTAGCCTGGACTGACGGTGCCATAGAATAAATAAAAGACTTCACTTTGCTAGTGAAGCCCTGCTGGTGCAGCGGGTTGTGCATTGGGCTGCTACCCACAAGGTCAGCAGTTCAAGTCCACCATGTAATGCACAGGAGAAAGTTGAGGCTTTCTGCCCCCATAAAAGATTTAGAATCACAGAAACCCTGTGCAGGGCTGTTATGAGCTGGAACCGACTTGATGGCACATGTCCATCACTGCCACCATTGAAGCATCACATTGTTAAGTTCTTAGGGTCATCTTTTTTACAACTGACCTCACTTAATAACCATTCAGATCACTTATTCTAGGCTCAGGCTGTTGCTGAAATCTGATTTGTATGGCTCTGTTACTGCTATATGAAATGCAAAGACTAGTTTTATTTTTAATAATATCCATCAATGTTTGCACTTCTAGATTCGCATTGTAAACTCTTGGGAGAAATCTCCCTTGGGCATTGGCTCTCAGTAAGTGGGATGCTGTGTCTTTGACTCGTATAAAAGCCAGATTGTTGATAGATCAATTATCCACAGAGGCTGTGGAAAATTTAACATAAACAGGGAAAAAATGTTAATTTTGAAATTCTGTCTGTATTTGGACTATGTCCCATTGAATGACCAGGAAACATAGTCCAAATACAGAAAGAATTGCAAAATGAACACTTCTTTAAAAATATATAAAAATGTCTAGATTTCCTTTGGTAAGCTCCAAGCTTGCCAAGTCCAGAGGCTGTGTGATGTAGGTTACAAATTGGGCTGTGAACCGCAAAGTCAGCAGTTTGAAATTACCAGCTGTTCCATAGGAGAAAGCTGAGGCTTTCTGCTCCCATAAAGGTTTACAGTCTCGGAAACCCTGTACAGGGTCGCTATGAGTTGGAACCTACTCCACAGCACATAACCAACCACCACCACTATATATATATATATATATATAAGTCTTGATGTGGCACTGCAGGTTAATGCGCTGTACTACAAGGTTGGTTTGAACCACAATGTCAGTGGTTCAAGTTCACCAACCGCTCCTCAGAAACGCTATACAAGATCACTATGAGTCAGAACCGACTCAACAGCACTTAATAATATACACATATACATACATACACACACACACACACACATATATATATATATATATATATATATATATATATATATATATATTTGTTTGTTTTACTCTCCTTCAGTTAGTAGTAGTGTATGTGCTGAGAGAAGATGTAGGTAAGTGTCAATGATACCAGAGTCATGTCAACATCCTCATGTATTCTTGGGAACGAAGGCTACTTCCTTCTCTCAGACTCTGCTCCCATCATATTTGTCAGCCATGTTCTGTCAGGTCCTTCGTGTACATTATCACATTTAATCATCACAACAAAATTTTGAGGAAGGTGCTATTATCCCCCTTTTTACAATGGAGAAAACCGAGGCCCTGTAAAAGTGACTTACCACAGATAGCTAAAATAAGTGGCAGAACTACATTATAATCACAAATGAGAGGCCAAGACAAAATTGGGATTAAAATAGCTGGCCTCCTTGTCTACCGCTTTAGTACCCTTGAGAAAACACAAAAAGAAAAAGACCCAAGTAAAACCTGAACCTCATTTTCTCACTCCCAAGTACCTCTACGGTAAGCACCCAGCCTGTTAACGATTTTCTTCTCCACGCAGATTAGGACATTGTGGCAAACATAGGTATTCCCTGACTATTGTTTCATTGAATCATATTTAACAACAATTTATTGAAGGTCATTTATGTGCCAATGAGTGCCTATCACTGTGGTGTTAGCAGAAACATGGGACCAATGAGTAAGTATCAGCAGACCACCCATTAGAGCAATGTTTTTTTATGTAGAGAAAGGTACACTATATACTAAGACAAACATTTTGGTCACCAATATTATATGCCAACCAAATGTATCTAACTGTTTTATTAATATACAAGTAAACTGAAAGACAGATTTAGAAACCGAACTCATTCGTAATCTGGGAACTGCCTGTATGTTAATCATCCCACCTGAAGGAAGAAATTCAAAGTAAAACCCTAGCTCTACCAGAATATTCAGAGACTGCTGGCTTATACCTTTCTTCTCCTGTGCCTTCTAGATCAACACTGTCCTACAGAACTTTCGGCAGTGATGAAAATGGTCCACACCTGTACTGTCCAACATGGTAGCCATTAGCCACATGTGACTATTGAACACATGAAATGTGACTAATGTGACTGAGGAATTGAATTTTTACTTTAATTAATTAAATCGCTGTAAATCCTGAATCGAATGGCACATACCTTTCTGGACTCTATTAAGGACTCTCTTCCTGCCCCTGTCTATTTGTTTTTTATCCATCCACAGCAAGCCAAAACCATTCTTTCCTTCCATTGGTTAATTCTGTGATTCTCAAATTGTATAGAGACTACTTGAGATCCATCTGACAGTCTCAATCTGGGGTGGGGTCCATTTCATGTCTAGCAAATTCCCAGGTGTTGCCAATGCTGTTCTTGGGACTTATTTTTAGGGGTCCTTTTTGGAGAAAGCTGTATCACTGAGGAATCAGTAGACCCAGGAGGCCCACTTGACCACAGATCCCTGGGGCCATGGTTCTGAACATTAGCTGCCCTTTGAAATCACCTGGAGAGCTTTTAAAGTCCCCAATGCTTAGGCCTCACTCCACACCAGTTGAATTAGAATCTTTGGAAGTAGAACACAGACATAGCATTTTTTTTTAAAAGTTCCCTGGATGAGTATAGCAGTCCTGGTGTGCTGTAGGATAAGCACTGAAATGCTAACTGTAAGGTTGGTGGTTCAAACTCACCAACTGCTCCTCGGAAACCCTCTACAGGGTCGTTATGAGTTGGAACCGACTCCACAGCACTTAACAACAGCAACAATAATGATGCTTACAGTGTACAGTCAAGTCCACTGCATGAATGGGACTTAACGCACATCTCTTTGCAAACACAAGAAAATTGCTCTTTTTATATCACAGGGCCTTTGTGAGAATTGGATGAGATTGTGGGTGTGAAAGAGTTTTAGGATCTGTGGGGCCTAACAGTAAGGATATGGGCATTGATAGTTTTGGAAGGGCCATTTTATAAATTACGTTATCCCAATGGGTCATGATAATCACCCTGCTTTCTGTGGTTCATCTCCTAGTACTGTTCCACTGAGCAGGCCGCTGCTGGCACAGATGCTGAGCATGTACAACAATTCTACAACCTTCTGACAGCCTCCATTGACGTATCCAGAAGCTGGGCAGAAAAGATTCCAGGATTTACTGATCTCCTCAAGGAAGATCAGACATTACTTATAGAATCAGCCTTTTTGGAGCTGTTTGTTCTTCGGCTTTCCATCAGGTAATTTTGTCTCCTTCAGTGCACCCTATGTTTCTGTAGAAGTTTGAGGCCTGCTACATTTGTAACTGAGTCATGGGTAATGCATCTGATCAAGAAGGAAATAATGAAACATGAGTTCTAAAAAAAACTGAGTAGCGGGCAATGGAAAGGGGGCTGGACTGGTAGCCAGGATCCCTGAGTTGTAGTGGACTTGCTACATGATGCTGAGCCAGGCCATTTACATCACCTGAAATTCCATTGCCTTCTTTGTGAAATGAGATCTGAAATCCCTTGCTACTCCAACATTTTGTAATTCTGGGAAGATTCTCATGGTGCTTAAGTTATTTTCTTGGAGCAAGTGTTTGCTTTGAAACATTGCATTTACTTCATAGGTTTATACTTAATAAGTCACTGTCCTAGCACACAAGATGGACCTCAAAGAGTTCCCACCATTCCCAAACCCCTCATTTACTCTGAGAGGATTGTTTCCTGATCAGACCTGGTCCAGCCCCTTATACTCAGTGATATCAAAGCAAAGAGGAAGTAATTTCCCAAAACTGTTGTTAAGTGCTGGCTCCTAATGAGCCTGCATAGGGGTTCTGAGGAGTGGCTGGTGGATTTGAACTGCAGACCTTGTGGTTCGCTGTCCAGTGCTGATGGTACAGCACCACACCAGAACTCCATCCCTGAGCTAGAGCCTGGTACATCAGCTCCTCTCATAAACATATAGCATTTCTGTTCCATCTTCTTTGCTTCCTTTCAGTTTTGTATTTTTAGGAGCTAGAACAAATTATTCACCAAAAAATATCAGAACAATAACTCTCTTGGATTCACCAGTCATATCTTATTACTGTGAGCATTTAAAGCTCAGTCTTCCTTGTCATGCTAGTTTGGTGGACCTTGGAAGAAATCCAGAAACTTGTTACATGTACTATGTACGAGGCATTGTGCACAGGCTTCCAAGTCCCCTATTATGTTTATTGTCACAATAATGTTGTATTGTTATTAGCTGCCATTCAGTCAGCCCCTCCCCTTCCCCAAGACCCCACGCATGATAAACCGACATGTTGCCTGGTCCTGCGTCACCCCCGTGGTCAGTTGCAGATCAGATTTTCTGAAATAGATTGCTATTCCTAGTCCTTCTTAGTCTGGAAGCGCCGCTGAAACTTACCCTGCATCATAGCAGTATGCAAGTCTCCAGACCGATGGTGACTGTGCATCAGGTGCTTCCACCAGGAATTGAACCCCGGTCTCCTCCTTGGAAGGCAAGGGTTCTACTGCTGAAATATAATCTCAGGTGGTAACAATTAGAATTCCTGTTTTATAGATAAGGTAAAAAGAAGCTTAGAATGCTTAAAGGAGTTCCCAGGGCCACACAGCTAAAAAGTGGTTTCTAACTGAAAGTTACAACTATTAGGAAGACTATTAGATCATGATAAAAATATTAGACACTCTATCCAGGGAACCTTTTTTTTTTCATTAAGTTTTTATAGTGAATTATGTGATAGTCTATATGGGCGAACATTAGCTTTACATTCGTCCTATCTTATTTCGTTTCATTGCAATGATTACAATTCCCTGCATGCATTGTCAAATAGCTAAAGGGTACACCCAGCAAGCCTGACCCCGGCCGTGAACACACAGACCCTCTCCCTCCCAGAGTCCAGAGTCCCCAGCGGCTCCATCTCTCCACGTCATCCTCTCTGCCTCCATCTGTGGCATTGCTTTTCTGCTCTTGGACTGCAATGTCCAGGGAGCCTTTTATGAGGCAAAAATAGGTTGATTGTGGCCATAATATAAACTCTGAGGAAAGATTTAGAAACAGCCCTCCACAACCCCGCTGTTAAAGCAGAGATGATAATACAAAATAAAGATTCGGTTTTTTCCTTTAGGCCACTTCTTAGTTTACTATTGGCTTCTGGCACTTTCAGGGACTTGGTGTTTTTAGAGTTGGCACAGTGGCATTGTAGTGTCTAGCCTCAGGCTTGATCAGTTTCTGACATTTACGAGAATGAGAGGGATGTCCTGGTGAAGGACCATAAAAGAAGGCCATGTCATGTGCGTTGTAAGAGAGCCGATTTAACAAGCAGACCTTGTGAGTGTTTCCTCCTCCGTATCCTGTCCCCAGGCAAGTCAGCTACTGACTCCAGCATCTGAGCAGGCCCCACACCCCAGGCTTGCTGAGAGCTGACTGTCTCCAAGGAAGTTAGCGTGGACAACTGGTGGTGGTTGTTTTTGCCCAGGAACATATTCTTGTCCGGCACTGGTGTCTGGGCATGTTTTTCAGCACCATGCTAGGTCCCAAATGATTGCCCTATAAATAAATATTTCACTTCCTGTGCACTGTGATGTCATCATGGTAGATGTTGTTGTGGGTAAGTCCAATCGGTTCTGACTCATAGTGATTCTGTATAGGATTTCCAAGGATCCGCTGGTTGGTTTGGACTACAAACCTTTCAGTTAGCCAGTTCAGTGCCTGGCCTATATAGACTCATTGAATGTGACTCTAATCTTCACCCCCACAATTTTGTCTTCCAGGTCGAGCACTGCTGAAGACAAGTTTGTGTTTTGCAATGGACTTGTCCTGCATCGACTTCAGTGCCTTCGAGGATTTGGGGAGTGGCTCGACTCCATTAAAGACTTTTCCTTACATTTGCAGAGCCTGAACCTTGATATCCAAGCCTTAGCCTGCCTGTCAGCATTGAGCCTGCTCACAGGTAAGCGCAACCCTGCTGTCACCCGAAGCAATCAAAGCAAATGGGCCTTTCTCTTTTCTTCCCTGTTCTAAGGCAGAGTGACCTTGGCCATCACACACATCAGGAAATTAGAAAAATGACAGACATGTTTCTGAATTCCGCTAAATTTAACCTAATTTAAACAAAGATGCATACACCTGCAAGTTGCTACCACAAAATTCTAGGAGAGGACTCCCCGTCTGTCGAGTTATCACTGTGAACAAAACCAGTAGCTGAGCATCAGAATTTCCACAGGAGTTATGTTCACAGGTGGACTGTGTGCTTCAAGGGTTGTTTTTGTAGAGTGTCCAAGGAAGAAAGTTTTAGGCAGCCTGTTCTTGGCTAGTGACCCAAAGAAAACTCAGAGCCACACACATAGAAAATACAACTTGATTTAATAAGATAGATAAGCAGAAGACTCGGAAAAATGAATACATTTGTAAATAGTTCAACTCAACAGCCTTTTAAAAGTTGCAAACAAGAAACATAAAACATAGGATATTTATTATCTTAAAATTAAATGTTTTCTTTCCTGCTAGATGTCTGTCCCTTCCTAAATTTTAGAAGAGAAAGGCTCCCAAGGCTGAGGGGGAAGGGGAGGAAGGGAAAGAGAAACAGGTATTTCCAATCAGAGAGGGAATACAATCTAAGCCCTGGTATGGCACTGTACGATAACACACTGGACTGGTAACCACAAGATCAGTGGTTCAAATCCACCAGACTCTCTTGGAAACCCTATACAGGGTGCTCGGAGTCACACAATAAGAACAACAATTTGACTGTCATAAGGAGCTCTAGTGTTGCTGTGGGTTAAACATTAGACCATTAACCGAAAGACCGGTGGTTCAGACCAGCCAGCCATTCTGCAGGAAAAAGATATGACAGTCTGCTTCCGTATAGATGTATAGCCACGGGAGTCCTAAGCAGCAGTTCTAGTCTGTCCTGTAGGGTTGCTATGAGTCAGAATCGAATCGATGGCAGTTAGTTATGGTTGTCATAGAGTCCTTAGTGGTACAGACAATTAACACACTCAACTGCTAACCCAATGGTTAGATGTTCAAGTCCACCCAGAAGTGTTGGAAGAAAGGCCTGGCAATGCTAGCAATCTACTGAAAAGTCAGCCATTGTAAACCCTACAGAGCACAATGCTACTCTGACACATGTTTTTATAGTTGTCAAGGCGTCAGGCACCAGGACCCAGCTCCTCTGCCCTTTCACACCTTCCAAGTTTCCTGTAGAAGTCCACCCTTGTAGATCTGACTGGGGAGCAATGAGGCAGTGATGGAGTCGAGGCTCAGAAGAAGCTAGCCAGACCTGGGACTCACTTCCATGTTTTCCGTCAGACCCAGCTCAGGTTAGGGTACTGGACTGAGAGTAAGGATCAAATTTGATACCCTCTTAGTTGTAGAAAGCATATTTTCCTGGCGATTTGTGAATTTCACAAAGAATCAATTCCATCCCATGACACAGGCCTTCTTTCTAATGCATCAAAAGTGGGCATTTGTTTGCCCACACCTTCTTGGGACATCTCCTAATACCCAAGAGATATGTGTCTGTGTGGCTTAAGAGCTAGGCTGGCTCATGATTTGTGGTTTACATGGAGGCAGAAAAGCAAATGGCATGCGCTACAGTTAAGAAACAGACAACAGCTTGTTCCCTCAGGATTCTGAGTGGAACCTGACTTCCTCCTCACCTTTGGTCCTAGATGAAGAACATGCTTCTATTGATGGGAGTTTCCAGGGACTTCAAGAACATTTAGCTCTTCCTGGGACAATTTCACACTCAAAACTAGAAAGCATGAAGTTAATTTAGAAACAAAAGCAAAAAACAAACCTAGAGCCAGCTTCGGCTTTCTGTAACTAAAATCAGTACATTGCCCCATCTCTATGGAGATGGGCATTGAGTCCAGTTAATCAGCAAAGGTTCATATTCTAGGCACTATGCTGCATGCTAGTAGGTTTTTAGAGACTACAGCCCATAGCTCTGAAGGAGACAGAATGTGCACATTAATATAAGCGACATGGGGTGCTGAGGGTCCTGGTGGGGAGCTGGCAATGGGTACAAAATGCTGAGAGAACACAGGTGGGTGGGGGTCTCCTTAAAAGAGAGAACGCATGGGTAGATTACTGATAAATGCATAGGCTATCTTCAGGCTGAAATGGAAGGGGTGAGAATTCCAGGCAGAAAAGAACATTTTGATAAAGCCGTTGAAAGTCTTACCGTTTGTCTTGCGTTTCAGTAAGGAAATGACTAGAAAATAGAGTAACAAGAGCGGAGACTGATATGAGTTTACCCTGAGGGCAACAGGGCCCACAGAAGGTTTTGACTAGAGAAACGTCAAGACCAGCCTTGTGTTTTAGAAAGAACTACCCTAGTAGGTGGACTCCTGGTGTGGCTCTGTAAGATCAGCACTGGGCTGCAAACCACAAGGGCAGCAGTTCAAACCCAACAGCTGCTCCTCAGCAACCCTATACAGGTCGATGACATTTAGCAGCAATAATCATAGTAGGTGGTTTGGAGCACAAATTGGAGCAGGAAAGAGACTGAGAAGAAAGAGACCAGACTGTGTGTGAGAGCTGTGGTTTAAGAGGAGGGCCCCTAAGGCCTGCCTCTTTCTCTGTTTAACTCTGTACGTGGAAATCAATAGATATAACCACATGGCCAGGATGTATGAGGGCCAGGGACCCCAGTCTGGAGAAGTTGGGCAGTTCAGTACAGAGCACAGAACGGGGATCAACAGAAAGGTTCCCCTGTCTCTCTGCCTCCAGTTTGCTATGTTCTTGAACAAGCCTCCCACCCCACCCCCTGGCCTCATCTGAGCATGCATGTAGGCTGGATTGGTTCGTTGTTTGGGGTGTAAGGGACTGTTCAGCCCACTGCCCATTTCTACAAAGCCTTGCTGGGGGAGGAAGCAGTTTGGCATGGCAGAAATAGCGTTTGGAATCTGGTATCCCCAGGTTTACTCTGGGGTCTTCAATTGAATAATTACATGCTGCTGAATAGTGTGTTTCATTTCTCTGAACTTGAGTTTTCCCAGCTTTTAAATGGAAATAATAATTCCATGGATGGAGTCCTGGTATGGCACTGTAGGATAAGCACTGGACTGCTAACTGCCAAGTCAGCAGTTCAAACCCACCAGCAGCTTCTTGGAAACCCTATACAGGGGTCCTTATGATTAAGAACTGATTCAATAGCACTTAACAAGAACAGCAACATTCCATGGCTAAGCAGTGAGGATTATAGGAAGTTAGATTTGTGAAGTAGCCAAACTGGATTTGGCATAGGCTCTGGTAGCGTAGTGGTTACGAATCGGGCTGCGAACCTTAAGGCCAGCAGTTCGAAACTACCAGCCGCTTTGCAGGAGAAAGATGAGGTGTTCTGCTCCCGTAAAGATTTACAGCCTCGGAAACCCTGTGCAGGGTCGCTATGGGTCGGAAATGACTCGACGGCACTTAACAACAACAACTCAATCCACCTGTCCACCTAAGAGCTATTCCCTCCCATTGTATTATACACATGCCTGCCCTTACCCTTGCAAACCCTGGGGAGCCTGAACTCAAACTCAGAGGTACAAGGGAACAGGGTGGTGGCTTTTAGAAGGCAGTGCATGGGAGTAATGGCTCCGTGGATCCTTGAGAGAGAGGGTTGATTGGGGGGGGGGGATGATATTAAAGTCATTAAACTGCCACTTGTCCAGTGTTTACAAAGAGCTTTAGTGTCCTCTTGGAGCCTCCACCTGGGGACAGCTCCAGTTCCTGCCCTCATCCCTGCCAGCCTGTGCGAGCAACTTGTTACAGGTGCTGTGATTTTAGCCCACAGGACAGAAAGGCCCCTTTTTTCTCGTTTCTGGGCCTCACGGCCCTCTCTCTTTGGTTGGGAGGGGCTGCCATGTGTGCATACATCAGGAAATGGCCTAAAAGGTGGTGCCTAGAAACTGGTGTGCAGTGCTATGAATATTCATGTTCATTTGAATCTGGACTCCCATGAAATCTTAACTTCTAAATTGACTCCATGGATCACTGTGTGTCAGTGTGGAATATCAGCTTGACTAGTGGCTTCAGAAAATCCACCCCCATATTGTCTGCCCCCCAATCACGGAGAGCTCATGAAAGGGAATGGAGTCTTAGGAGTTTAGGCAATCTCTCTTCCAGGAGCACTATTAAGAGTCCAGACAGAACGTGTGGTTGCACAAATATGGCTATGTGTATATATATGTATATGTCATACTTTTTCCTCCTTCTTTCTCTGTGCTTCTTATGAAAAAACTAGATGGTGGGGTGAGGCAGGAAATGGTTTCTTCTGATCACTTTCCTTTCCTACAGTGGATAGGGAGTTCCCCCACACTTGTGGGTTTCAAATGTTGTTAGGTCCCCAGTTCATCTCCCCTAACCCTTCTCTTTGCCAGTGTCACAACTGACTTGGAAATGAGATTTGCTTTGTTTGTTTCTGATGAGTACCAGAGAGGCAATAGCTGGTTGTGGCTCCTTATGTTTAATAATTAAAAAGCTCCACACATAAAGAAAATTCAATATGGAAAAATGATTTTCTAAGTATCCATTCCTTAGATAAATATTGTGGGCCTACTGCATGCCAAGAAGTCCAGGTGTGGTACTACAGGTTAATGCACTGGACTGCAAAGTCGGTTTGAACCCAAAGTTCACCAGCTGTTCCTCAAAAACCCCATACAGGTTTGCTATGAGTTGGAACCAACTCAACGGCACTTAACAACAACAACTGCATGCCAAAGGTGCCCTGGTAATGTAGTGGGTTGGGCTGCTGACCTCAAGGTTGGCAGTTCAAACCTACCAGTTGCTTTCGGAGAGAAAAATGAGACTTCTGGCTCCTGTGAAGAGTTAGTCTCTGAAGCCCTAGGAGCAGCTCCCCTTTGTCCTATTCTAGCATCACTTTGAATGGAATTGACTCAGTGGCAGTGGAGTGGACTGTGTACCAGGCACAGTGCTAGTCTCTGGGAATGCAGAGAT